TTTTAGTTTTTTTAAATTAATCGATCAAAAAATATATCCTATAAACAAAAAAGTTTTAATTATTGGGACAATTTTTTAGTCAGTGTATGTTATCGATCGTCGATATTATAGGTAAGTTTTCACAAGCATATTTTATAAATTTGTTTCGCAAATTCTGAAGAAAAATGATTTAACTACATTATCATATAGCGAGTAAGTTTATACAAGCATATTTTCAAATTGTTTCGAAATTCTTACGAAAATTGCTTTAACTATGTTATCGATTGTCGATCTTATAGGTAAGTTTTCACAAGCATATATTTTCTACATATATTTCGAAAATTCTGAAGAAAATGATTTATAATCTTAAGTTTCATTTGCATGTTTTGTAATTTTTCTATATTTTTAGAATAATAGACTTGATTTTATAAATAGAAATATGCAATCAATGTCAAAAGAAGACAAAGTCCTTGTGGTGTCGGAGTTGCAATTCTTCACACTTTAAAAGAGAATTTTCAAAATGGAAAAGTGGAAATGATGACGTCGACAAATTTATAAAAGACATTCAACTAGATGCGAACAGTTATGATGCAGTTCTCGAGTGGATCCCTTATTCAAATTTTACGGTCGACGCAAATCCTATAGGTGTAGGCGGATTCGGAAAAGTTTATTCAGCTGAATGGATCGAAGGTTACATTCTTTATTGGAATATAGAAATGAGACAATGGAAACGGAATGGTGTTACGAAAGTAGCATTAAAGTATCTTACCGATTCTAAAAACGTTACCGGCGAGTTCTTAAACGAGGTGAATATATTCTTAAATAATTGTTTTTATAAATAAAATTATTTATCTTAAATTTGTATTAAATACATGCACAATTTAGATAAAAAATAACTTGACTATTAAAGAAGGTTCTCGTGTTGTTAGATGCTACAGAATTACGCGACATGAAGAGACCAAAGATTTCATGATGGTGATGCAGCTGATGGAGGACGGTAGTCTTGGAAAAAATTTACCTGAATGTCGAAAGATGTCATGGGACGAAAAATTGACAAGTTTACGAACAATTGCGGAAGGGTTATATCAAATTCATAAAGCTAAATTGGTACACCGGGATTTTCATAGCGGAAATATCCTTTTATCGGATCTTAAAGACGGAATATTCTACATTACCGATCTAGGTTTATCTAAGCATCTAAAGAATATGAAAAAGGAACAAAAAACAGCATTTTTGCGAATAATATTTTATCAAGTATTAGCAAAAAAATACGTTCCATATCGGAATTAAGTTTACACAACCCAGTCATTGAAACCGCTAATAAAGAAGCTATAAATAGAAACTTATATGGTGTGCTCCCATACATGGCTCCAGAAGTATTACGTGGTGATGAATATACCGAGGCAGCTTATATTTATGCATTTGGAATTACCATGTCTGAAGTGATATCCGGTATTCCTCCTTTCCACAATGTTCCTCACGATTCCAATCTCGCTTATAAAATATGCCTTGGCAAAAGACCTAAAATTCCAAGAAACACGCCTAGTTTAATAGTTGAATTGATGCAAAAGTGTTTGGATGCTAATCCCCAGGATCGTTTAAGTTCTTATGAAATTCTTAGTATTTTAAGGGAATGGTGTAGATATAAAGAATTTGAAGGCTCGGATCTTTTTAGGCAAATTATAGAAAATGAAGATAAGAAATATTCATATAGCATTGCAGAACTTGAAAATCATCCGTCGGCTATTTATACTAGCCGACTTCTTGATTTTAATGACCTTCCGCAGCCCGTGAATTCTGAAATAGAATATAGAGACTTTTAGCTTGTGCATCAAATCTCTTTTAGCGAAAGTTATTTGTAAAAGGTTAGTAAATTAATTTAATTTCTCGATTTTTTTTAATTTATCAGTTCTGACTATATTAAAATATTCATTAAAAAGTACTTAACGCATAAGGATTTTGTGTTATTTGTACAATAAACATTTACAGTATATTAAATAAGATTTTGAACTTTTATATTTAATTAATATTTACAAATGCTATATATTCTTGCAACTTTACAGATAGCAATGCATTAGGACGCCTATCAAATTTTTTTACTAAAAGGAGCTTGCGTCAAATTAGTACCTCCGACTTGTTTTTTATTTCTATTCTAAAAACTCTAATTATAATTTAGGCGCCGGAGAAAGTAATGATGAAATAATAATTACAAATCCTCCACATTGGATATTGAATAAATCTTTTACTTTTGATACAGGTAATGATAGAGATGCAATGAAGCAATAAATAAGCTACCTATCAAGAAAATAATAGAGATTATTATCTTTATAGTAAAATTTATTTTTAGAAATATATAAAGAATCAATGGTATTAAATAAGCGTAGTAATTTTTAAAAGTAATATTTTGCAACTAATAAAACAGAAGTAAAATATGAATAAAACCAAAAATATTATAAAGTTTTAATTGTATTTTTCAAATAAATTAATAAGATAAACATTATAAGAAAAACAATTTTAAATAGATTGCACAGGTATTAATTAATAAAAAAAATATTATTACGTATTTCTTATATTTCTTTTATTTCTTTAACAAGAGCTCTACACTAAAAATTGTTTCATATCAGCCACGACTCATCTCCTGGATGATCGTCTCCTCTTCTAATTTCGATTTAAATCTTATAAGTGGTCGGTAATAAAAAATAAACCAGCACATAATTCCAAAACATATAAGAATATATGAAAGCAAGTATGGTAAATATGTAGGATTTAAATATTTAAGGGTATGGCTAATATGTGGTGGTGGAGGTAAAAACGCACCAACGTAAATAAATATCGATATTATTAAGAAAATGTAAACGAGCGTTCTATCCATCTTGAATGGACGAGGTAGAGTTCTCTCGGTTTTTCTTAAAACCTTTATAAAGTTAAATCAGTTAATTAGGGATTAGTTTATTATTATATTATTATCTGTAGTGTGCGTGTTTATTTGCGCCACGAGCAAGCCAAAGAATACTTACCAAAAGTCCAAGCGCACTCAGACCATAGAATATAAGTGATGAATATTGGGCCATGTTTGTGAGAGCATCGTAGGGGTTGTTTGAGGGGAAAAAAAGAACAATAAAAGAGCAATAAATCCATTGAAAGATCAAGGCATTAAATGGGGTATAGTATTTTTTATGAAAATTCCGTAATTTTGGAGAGCAAAAAGGAATATAATCTTTGGTAGCGGCGGCAGCAATAATTCTTGAGCCACTCCATACCATCGAGCCAACGGCACCAATCGAGGAAACCGCGATCAGCGCAGAGACCAGACCTCCTAGACCAATTTCATTGCCTAATTGTGTGCTTATAACTTGGTTATAGGCATCTTCTTGACCAGCATTAGGATCCACAACTACTATTATTGAAAGAACAGCAAGAATATCTGGAAGAGAGGAATCACACTAAATTTCACAACCAAAGATTATTTAAAGAACCAATATACGCGTAAAAATGAATATTTACACAGAACCCCAACCACAAAAACACTGATGGGGTTTGAAATCTTTAGCCGTTTTTCTGGGTCTTTCATTTCGTACAAGGTATCTATAGGAAATTTTTAATAATTTCAGAATCAAAATGTGCAAAAAAATACTGTATGTAACAGTGTTCAGAGATATTTACAATTCAGATTATTCCACCCTTCGTAGGCAAATAGGACCTTCAACATTGCGCTGCTAAAACTACCTACATTATCCCATCCTCGCGTTTCGGAGAAAAGAATATTCGACTTCAAGCGGTCCGGATATTTATTTATCTTTGTCAATCCAATTATCGAGATAGCCAATAACGTCAAAGTTTTTACTACGGCAAATGCGTCGTTCAATTTGACCGCCAAAAAGTTTGAGAATAAATTATAGCCTGTTACAATAGTCAGAAGGGCAAATGCAAGAATTCGAATTTTCCAATGTTGACTATCAGAATAATAGAAGGGGTGTAAAGTAGGGGCATTTTCTGTGTATTCGACGGAAAAATTTCGATTTGCTGCGTAGAGAATGTATTCGGAAGCAACGATAATGTCACTTGCGATATAACCGGGACGTATTAAACTGTATTTTAAAAAAGGATATGGATCAGTATGAATGAAGTACGTATATACGTAGACGTAAATGTAGAAAATTACACTCACATGATCATACTGAAACTGAATAAATATCCGATGATCAGTCGAGGTTTGGGAAACGAACGTTCTAAGTAATACTGCTCTCCGCCTATTTGATAATTAAATTAGAGTAGGTAAAACCTTATTTAAAAATCTCTTAAATAAGATATCCTTTTCTTTTTACCTGATTCGGGTATGCTACTACCCAACTAATATGAAAATGTGCTTGTGTTGGCAAATGGAAGTTTTTTTAAAAACGAAATCATTGGAAGTTTTCAAATATTTACCTCAACATAAATAAAACTTCCTAATAAGGAGAAAATAAACCCGATTATGTATAGTAATAAAGTCATTCCTCCACTTCGGGTTAAAAACCAGATATCTCCGGTAGCAGAAAATATTGCTATATTTATACAATATTTAAAAAAAGCAAAGATCATTTTATTGTTTAATCCGAATCACATTATGAAATGCCTACCGCTACCAATCATACTATTCACATTAATAGACATGTCCCGGGAACTTTTTTGCGATTCGTGGCTGCATCATATTCATTCTCCATCTGGGAATCCTTATAGTCCGATGCAGAGTCAGAAATTCCAGATTCCATTTCTATTGTTCCTACGCTGTCCACAGTTTTTGAAATTTGAGTTTTCATAGATTTCACGACGTATGCAAAAGTTTAAATTATTGTCACTACGGAGAGCGAACGAATCATATATTTAATAAGAGCGAGAAAACTTATTAACTCACGCAAACATGTACATGAATATTCCCGATATTTATCTGTTTGTGCTTGTTGTAGTGTTATATTTATACATATTTGCACCAACCCTTAATTTCACGTGCCATCTACGTACACTTCCCTGAAATTGATCACCAGAATTTTTAAAATTGGATATGATCAACGTCAGCAGTTAATTTTTTGAGCTTGTTACCACATGAACGTACAGTACATATTTTTTTCTTTTGTCTTCGCCGAAACTTCAGCTACCTGTTAATATATATATATATATTAGTTTTATTTTTGCTTAAAATGGAACAAAAAAGGAAAGAACTTGATGAAAGAGAATATAACTAAGTCATCAGTGCCTTTAGGTGTGGAGTGAAGGTCCTGTGATCAGAGATTCTTAAATTTTTAAAAATACCATTTATGACATTATTACACTTTACAAAAAAATGGTGAAATCAAACCCTCTCCTTGTTTGATAAAACACCTAAACTAAGTGAATGAGATGTTCGTATCTCACCCATCTTGTAAAAGAAAATAGGAAATTTATTTTGAATATTTGACTAGTAAATTTGTTGAGTCAACATCATTAGAAATTAGCCCACATAAAATATAATGCTACCTTCATATCAAAAAATTTTATTATCGCTTGGAAGAAGAAAACTTATGTAAATGAAAAAAATACAAGTTATATTTTGAATGGGCACAAGAATGAATGAGATTAAAAGAAGAGAGTATTTTATTATTTGAAGTGATTAATCTTGATTTGAAGTGTTTAAAGGGGATGGTTATGATTATGTTTGGAGGAAACTTAAAGAAAAATATGATGACAATTTTATAGTTCCTACTTTTAAATCTGGTAAATGGTTAAGGTGTGCTTTAAAACAGATGGTTTAGGTCTATTGGTTAAAATTGATAATAATAAAATAGCTAGTAATTATAAAGAAACTCTTAGTAATAAATTACTACGTACCTATTGAGAAAATTTTCCTGATTATTTATTTCACGATAACAATGTTCAATTCATCAAGCACACATTGTTAAAGAATAGATGACAGAAAAATATATTTCTTGTCTTTCATGGCCTGCACAGAGTCTGGATCTTAATCATATTGAACATGTCTGGGATTAATTGGAATAATAGATTTGCAAGTGCAATCCTCTATCAACAAGTGAGACACAATTGTTCAATTTCATACAAGAAGAGTAGTTTAATATAAAAATCTCAATTTATGAATTTTATTCTTTTAGATTCAGCTAAAAAAATTTAAAATAAAAACAAGCAAGATATATATTTTTTTAAATAAAAAAATTTTTTGCTATTATTTTTATTGTTCATCCGAAATTTTATCGACGTCCGGTCATTAAAGGCAGGGGAATGTACGTGAAATATATTACATTTTTTATCTTTATTTTTAATTTTTTACTTTAAAAATTAATTCCTTATTTTATTTTTCATTTAAATTAGATATTTTTCATTGCTAAATTTTGTTCTTTCATTTTTGTTTTATATTTTTTTCGTTATGAATTCTTTTTTTATTTTACTTTATAATTTATACTTAATTTATTGTTTTAATTTGCTTTGTCTTTTATAATGTGCGCGATTTATAACAAAACATAAATAAAAGTTGCAAAATATTCGACTATTTATTAGATAAAAATTAATAAAATCTAAATACATGAATGTTACACTTTTTTTCCGATATATATAAAAAATTCGGAAAAAATCAACAAAACAAAATTAAAACATGACAATATTTCCTTCAATACTTATTGAGAAATTTCCCATAACCTAAAAGTCATCAAATATTCAATTTCAGAATTCATAGGCTGCGGAAGATCCTATCTTTAAAGCTAAGAAGCCGACTACGTAGTATAAATAGCCGATGGATGTTTTTCAGGCGCCACATTATTATATAAAGAATATAATGTCGCGTTTTCATTAATTTTCCTATAAAGTTCCGAATCTTCATATCTCTCATAATGACTCCATATCCGTGAAATACCTCACAGTTCATAAGAACTTAAGCGCTCGTTAAAATCGGGATCTAACCATTTTACATCAATTGACTATTAATTTGTGTTGTTTCTTGGGATTCTAAGTCGTTTACCAAGGTAAATTTCATTAGCAAGATTGTGATCGTGTGGAATATTGTAAAAACCAGATATCACTTCGGACATAATAATCCCGAATGCTCAAATATAAGCTGCTTCTGTATATTCTTCACCACTTAAAACTTCCGGTGATACATATGGAAGCACACCATAAAATTAGGTTAAATTTGCTATTCCACATTCAGCGGCTGGTTTGCATAGGCTCAAATCGGTTATGCAAAATATTCTTTTTCTAATATCAAATAAAAGAATATTCCCGCTATAAAAATCGCGGCGAACTAATTTGGCTTTGTGCATCTGATATAAGCCTTCAGCTATTCGTTTTAAGCTGGTTAATTTTTCTTCCCACGACATCTTTCGGAATTCTGATAAGTTCTTTCCAAGGTCATCATGTTCCATTAATTGCATCACATTATGAAGTTCTTCGTTTCTTCATGTTGTGTAATTCCATAGCATCTAACGACACGAGAATAACTTTATGTACAGTCAATGTTATTGTTTATCTGTAAAATGTATTAATTCAATGCTCATTTAAAATAAATAAAAAATTATTCGAGAATTACAATCACCTCATTAAGAGCCCATTGATGATATCTTTAGAATCGTTAAGACTCTTTAGCGCAACCTTCGTAACACCTTTTCTTTTCCAATGACTAACCTTTTCATTCAAAAAAGGATATATCCTTCTGTCCATTCGGCTGAAAAAACTTTTCCATGACCACCCCTATAGCATTTTAATTAGCCTTGAAATATGAATATTGAATCCATTCGGTTACCTTTTCAAACCTGTGGGCGTTTAGCTGAAATTCTTTTATAAACTTGTCGACGGCATTATTCCCACTTTTCCGATTATCGAACTCTTCTTCAAATTGGGATGAATTACATGGTCTAAACACCGAAGAGATGTCGGCTATTTTTTACAGTGATTACATTTATCTATAACTAAAATAATAATAATAATAATAAGCGCAGATAAAACACTTCTCTTCGGAATATTCAAAACAAATTTTGAAAATATGCTTGTGAAAACTTACCTATAATATCGACAATCGATAACATAATTAAATTTGAAACAATTTGAAAATATGCTTGCATAAACTTACTCCATATAAGATAATTTAGTTAATTATTTTTCTTCGGAATTCGAGAAAAAATTTTAGAAAATATGCTTGTAAAAACTTACCTATAAGATCGACGATCGATAAAATACTATTCGTAAGAATTCGATACAATTTGAAAATATGCTTGCATAAACATACAATCTATAAGTCGAAAATAGTAAACCATTTTTCTTCAGAATTTGCGAAAAATATTTAGAAAATATGCTTGCGAAAACCTACTGTAGCTATAAGATCGACGATCAATAACATAGTTAAAGCACTTTTCGTAAGAATTTAGAAGCAATTTGAAAATATGATTGCATAAACATACTTCCTATAAGATAATATAGCTGAATCATTTTTCGTCAGAATTTGAGAAACAAATTTAGAAAATATGCTTGTGAAAACTTACCTATAAGATTGACGATCGATAGCACTGTTAACGCACTTTTCGTAAAAATTTCGAAACAATTTAAAAATATATTCGCATAAGCTTACAGTCTATAAATAAAATTAAATAATATAGTAAAATCTTTTTTTTTTTCGGAATTTGAGAAACAAATTTAGAAAATATGCTAGTAAAAATGTACCTATAAGATCGACCATCGATAACATAGTTAAAGCACTATTCTTAAGAATTTCGAACCAATTTGAAAATATCTTGCATAAACTTACTCCCTATAAGATAATATATTTAATTATTTTTCTTCAAAATTTGCGAAACAATTTAGAAAATATGCTTGTGAAAACTTACCTATAAGATCGACGATCGATAACATAGTTAAAGTCATTTTTGTAATAATTTAGAAACTATTAATTTCAAAATATGTTTACATAAACTTACTCCCTATAAGATAATATAGTTAATCATTTTTCTTCAGAAATTACGATCGATAACATTGTTAAAGCACTTTTCGTAAGAATTTAGAAACAATTTAAAAATATGTTTGCATAAACCACCCTTATAAGATAATATAGTCAGATTATTTTTCTTCAGAATTTGCGAACCAATTTTAGAAAACATGCTTATGAAAACTTACCTTTAATATTGACGGTTGATAACATAATTAAAGTTCTTTTCGTAAGAATTTCGAAACAATCTGAAAATATGCTTGCATAAACATACAGTCTATAAGTCGACAATAGATAATATGGTTAAATCATTTTTCTTCAGAATTTGCGAACAAATTTAGAAAATATTCTTGTGAAAACTTACGTACATGATCAATATCACTATCGGTAACATAATTAAAGCACTTTTCGTAAGAATTTCGAAATAATTTAAAAACATGCTTGCATAAACTTACCTCCTATAAAATAATATAGTTAAATCAATTTTTTTTAGTATTTGCGAAACAATTTTAGAAAATATGAGAATTTCGAAACAATTTGAAAATATGCTTGCATAAACTTATTTTCTACATAGCGGTAATTAGTAATATAATTATTATCGACCATCAAAAATTATAAACTTCCTGAGAAGACCTACCCCCAAATTAAAATGTATTGTACAAAAAGTTGAATAAATATGTTTAATAAATAATATCTAGAATGTTATAATATGACTTAATGCTTTCTTCATTAATTCCCTTGCTTTTTCAGTTATTGTTCCCATGGCAAGCGGTAAATCTAGTCAAAATCCGATTTTTTACGATTTACAGACATATCAGGAATCGCCTTATACGTACATACTCGATAAAATAAATTGTGTACAAATAGCTTATTTTAGTTGATCATTGGATCATCAAAAAATTTCCGGTTACGGTTCACTCGATAAAATACACAAGGGTTTTAAACACGTATTATAAAAGTTTAAATGAATGTTTTTCATAAACTTCAAAAGTTAATTACCTTGTTATAAGATGAATAAAAAAATAATGCCCGATAAAGATTTTATCGTCGTGAGAGTATTGAAACTGACGTCCACCTATTTTGTGCCATATAGAGTAAATATGCTAAAACGTATGCCTAGAAATATTACATGAAAGAAAATCAATTTGTATTAATATATCGGCACATTGGTTTAATTACATATATGACTTTGGATCTTTATACATGAAATTTTTAATTATACTCAAATAAAATCTTTACAATCAAAAACGCTCAGAAGAACTATCTTTTATAAGGGACGATCGTTATTAGAATTGGTATTCGATATAACGGAATATTCGTCGTGTGGCGGATGGTTTAAAAATACGCTAAAAGGATTATGGAATATGATGGATTTTCTACTACGTACATCTCGAGGATATGGACATTCTGTCAATTTACGACCGCTATTCTCGTCATATTCTGTATGTGACAGGAGCGGATCGTTTTGAAGTAAGTTATTCGGAGCGCATCATTGTCGAACTATTTTTATAACAATTTCGAGTGCGGCTTCCACCATTTATCTAGAGTTTACGCTCGTGTGTAGAATTAAAACTGTTTTCATAGTTTTTACTCTGCAATTATGATATAAGATGAAGCCGTTGTGAACACTCTTTATTTAGATATTTAAGAATGGAGAGAAGGTTAGACTTCCCAGGTTTTTATATAATGTAGTAGCACCAAAAGTTCTCTTTTACTATAAATATTAACGTAAAAATCCATAAAAAAATTTAGGGTAGAAAATTTTTAAGTACGATATTTTTTTTCCGAGAGATTGCACCATTCAAAACATGGTTTGCGTAGGACCAAACGTATGTTTTTATGAATTCAATCATTCTTAACCATTCATAATTAAAAATAAAGACTCAATGAAATGATTTTTTCAGACTCGGTAGTTGCTGTAATCACACGCATACCGAATTTTCCAAAAGGTCGGTCTAGGTTATAAGTAATGATTAGTTTTCAAGTTTATAGTTTCTCTACCTTTTTAATTTTACCATTACATATTTAAGTGTTTTTCTACATACCCGTGTTGTTGATTAAGCGCGGGTACATATATTTCAAATGCGCAATTCCCTCCCTTTCTCTTAATTTTTGGATAGAACACGGCTGTGTACTCTTCATAACAGGATAATTCGTAAAAAGGAGAATAGATAAATAAGAAATTATTAAATGTGATATATTTTTTAAGTATAGCTTTGTATTCCCTACAACGTGCTAAAGACACGAGCATGAAATTATTGATCGCAATACATTTCTCTGGGCACGTGCGGCGCAACATTCTTCTCTGCTTTCTTTATCGACATTTTAGTTGGTTGCGGTGTATAAATTTGTGCGAAAACAATGTGTCGTATTTACGGCCACTTATCGAAAATTTTAAGACTTTGCAATTACTGTAGAAAAAATTTTTTCAACAATCGTTTAAAACAACCTCATTCAGTCTGTAAATAAATATTCTTTTGTGAATGAAGAAAATAAGATAATACAGTATATCATTTACTCATGAAAGAAACGGATATTTTTAGTTGCAAAATCATGATTATCTTTCGGTTCTTCCCGAAGATCTGGTCACAATAATCACTTTATTTAATTCTTTAGGCAATACTATAGAGATTATCTTTTGATAATTCAATTGATTTCTCGAATGAGTCAATGAAAAAGAGAACTTCTAACCAATCAACCTTTCCTGAGAATTTCGCATTACTTTTGATATTGTCTTTTAAATCCGTGAACAATAGATTAACACAAATATTGCAACATTTGAAAAAACATAAGCAATGATTTCCAAATAAAATATACCAAGTCCGATCTTATTATTTTGCTATATACAATATATAGTTCAATACGACTTGTAAAATATGAATAAAAGCTACAACTTTTGATTTAACTTTATTATTTTACTTTTAAAAAGAAATGAGCAGATAATTTAGTTATAATATGGTATGGTTATTGATGTTTTTGTAATAAATAAAAAACAAAATAAAGAAAATAAAAAAAAGCAAAATATCGCATTCATAAAATATCTATTAAAACTCATATGTAACAAATGACTTCTATTTTTCAAGTTATGTAATGGTAAATTTTATGTGAAAATTAGCTAGAAATTAATTTCACAAAGTAGATTCTTACTGGTAACAAAAAAAAAAAAAAAACTGTGTCAAGCCGATAATTATTCTTAAATAACGTTAATTTGCCTTATTTATTAGCTACCCCGTTTGTCTGATCTTGATCTTAATTTATATAAGGCTACCTTATGATAATAGTAGTGATAAAAATATAAGAAAATTAACACAATAGTATGTGAAAAAATAAAGGGCTAATCCTAAAAGAAGTTTCATGTCAATAATTGCAATAAAAGTTAGAAACTTGTGATATTTAAATAGATTTAATATCAAAGACATATTAAACTAATTGATGTTGTACAATAAATCATTCATTTTGTACTGCAGAGTGCAAAAAATAATAAGACATCAACATTAATGAGCAATTTTATTGTTAATATATAGAGACAATATTATACAATAGAGCCTATGTCCCGGAGTAAATCTCCGAAGTACACTTTGTGTCCTCTGGATAATCGAATCAAATTACTGCACTTGGTTTTATTTTTTATGTTACTGCACGCCGAACTTGTAATAACCTGTACATTCTTTGATTTAATTTGAAATCTTATTGATTTTTTCCATTCAAAGATATAGTTTGTGTAAGACGCATAAAATTGATATTTTTAAAAGAATTTTTGATTACAATCAAAGTTTAGAAAACATTAAATCATAATGACTGAAAGAGGTTTTTAGTACTCAGTGTGAGTCGACATTTAAGTCACACACAGAACAGTATCCCTCTTTGAAGGGCTAAAATATAAATAGCAAATCTTTGGACATTTGATTGTAAAAAAAAACCTTTCTTTTGTATTTTACAGCCAAAGCGATGCCTAGATTTACAGATGAGGTAAAATGCGCATTTTATTTCAAACAAAGATAATTAAGGTGTTAAATTTTTTTTTCTGAATTTTTTTTTAGGACGATAAAAAGTTAATGGAATATATTGAAAAACATGGTTGCAGAAATTGGTGTAGGGCCGCAGATCATGTGGGTGCTAAGAACGCTAATCAGTGTAGAGAAAGGTAAATTGATTTTTGCATAGATCCAATAGTTCATATACCGTAAATTCTAAAATATAAAGTTAATAAATTCTATTACTTCCAAAAAGATATTTTGGTCACTTGTTTGGAAGTAGTAAAATTTAAAGAGAATAATTCCGTGGTTATAATATATAAACATTTTTTAACAATCCTTTAAAATAATCCCATTAGTTTGTAAAGATAATTTTACGAGCGAAGAAATAGAAATTATAAAAAATTTGCACGGGGAGGGTAACGGATGGGCACAGATAGCAGCTGTTTTAAATAATTGTCGCACTGAAAAAGGAAGACGAACTGCAAATCAAGTTAAAAATTATTGGTATCAAAAGCTTTCTAAAACGAAAAGAGAAAAAAATAACGACCTCAAAATTCGTAAGCATAATGTTGAAAACAAGAATGCAACACTCAGAAACTAATCTCCAAACTTAAATGCCAATGTAGTTTCGACGTCCGTTAATTCTTTGGGTGAACATTCTGAAAGTAAATTATGTTTAGATAATTCTGATAATTCCTTAAACGAGCATAACGATAAAGGAACACTGAACTTCCTAACTCTTTCACAGATGTCTCCAATGTGCAATTGCCACTTTCAGGATCTTTGCCGATGAATTTTCCTTCTTTAAATATTGGATGAAGTCGATGATCAGCTACCTGCGTATAATGGAACCACGAATTCATTCGTCGGTGTATTTTTTTCATAATAAATTTCCGATCAACATCTAGACAAGAATTTGAGATGATATTTACAAAAAAGAAAAGAAAAACCTTAAGTCATTTGTTATAGTAAAATTTCACACAGGACTTATAATTCTTTTATAAATCAAAAATTGTGGCAGTACAGTATATTTAATAAAAAATTTTTGATTTATGACCTTATGTTTTATACTAAAGTTAAGTTCAGTGCAATTTGCGTTTAACGCATACCCACGTCAAAATCCTTTATTATGCACAGTACATATAAAATAGCTTTAAATAAAACTAAGAATAGTAAAAATATTCAGGAAAAACAAATAAAATTGTATAAATAAAGATGATGACAAAGCTTAATACAATTTCAATAATATAGCAGACGCACAATCCAATAATCCTTGAAGTTACTATGTATTAAATGGAAAAATATACACCGAGCATATGCTTAGCCATAGTCATATGGCAAAATTAAGTTCCAAAGAACCCAATAAGCAGCATATTATGACTATTTATAATAAGATGACTAAATATTAACAAATAAGGTAGAATAGAATTCATAAAATATGAGAAGATTAAATTCAAATTATAAATAATATTTCTGAAATTTAGTATAAAAGAGATGAAAAGCAAAACATTCATATAACATTTTATTCAAAAATTGATAGATAAAAAGCTTCTTGATTCAAATGATAAATAATAAATTATCAAACTAGATAAATTTGAAAATATATGATTGGATCTATATACTTTTAAATATAGTATGCATCTAATTTTAGAACTCAAAAAGAAATAATAAGTACTTTCAAAGTTATTATTAGTCTAAATATAAAATTAAATAAGTATATAAAAATATTTACAAAAAGAAAGATTCAATATAAAGCAAAATAATATTTAAAAAGTAAAATTTAAGATAAAAATAATAATCTTAATATATTATATTATAAAAATAAGTCAAAATACTTTAAAAATCCATATATAATTGTTAAATTAGAAGTCAATAATAGAGAATATAAATCTAAATATTAAAAAGATAAATTAAATTGAAAATTAATAAATACATTAATAAAAGTTTTAAAATATATTTTTAAAAAGTATATAATTAAAAAGTTTAATCACATAAAAAAAAGTATCAATATATTATACAAGGTAATTTGAAATAATTTTAATTTACTTATTTAATATATAATATTTTTTATTTTCTAAAATGACAAAATTAAAAAAATAAAAATAAAAGTTTGATATTAAATTATATCTTAAAAATTACTAAAAAGAGAGAAAGTCTACTGTATACTTTTTCAAGATATGAATAAAGCTTCAATCTAGTCAAAATTCAAAAACTAATACTTGCTCATTAAGGAATCAAAATATCTATCAAGATATTCAATATATTATAATATTGTTTTATCAATTGTTTCAACTAAATTATTGGCTTTTCAAAAATATTAGCTATATTAGCTTATATTTAATAAAAAAATGTATTAATTAAAAATTTTATTATTATTTATTTTATTTATTTGTTTTTATTTTTTTAAGTACCAATCACATAATAGTTAAAATATATAATTCACTTAGTTAATTTTTTAAAAATTTTTTAAACACTGCTCAGCCTTGCTTTATTTATAAATATGTAATATCAATATATAAAGAATATTCTAGAATATACTACATATTTACTATCAAATAAAACTTGATAGAAATCTTTTATTATAAATACTCATCTTGCAGCTTATTGGCATTCTAGAATAAGGACTAACCTGTTAAAACTGGGCTAGTATTGAAAGAAATTTTGAATATATAAAAGTTGTCTATTAAATTTATGATCTATTGATTCATAAACTCATTGACTAGATATATAAATTAGTTTTTTATATGTTTTTCTCAGAATATGACTATAGAATCTTCTTTTCTTGTCTCATATTTTGTTGATTTTTCTTTTTATCTGGTAATTCTTTTCCTAGCTTTCCATTTTTGAAAGGTTTTATATCTTTTTGCCAAATTTAATACAGATATTTAATAGTCTCAAAACAAATTACTATTATAATGTTTTTACTATCTATTTTATCTGGAATAATTGTTTTGAAATTGTATATAAATTCTTTAAAAAGGATTTATATAATGCTTGCTATCAAGTATACCTTATATTTCAGATTGTTTGAAAATTGAATAGTGAATAGTTAAAAATTTTTCTTTTCTATATAGTTTTTTATATAGATTATAGTTATATTTTTTAAGAATTTTTCAATTTCTTCTCTAAGTTGTTGGCAAAAAAATAAATAGGTTCTAATCTCTGGCTCTCCATATTTATTATATCAATTATTTTTATAGATGAATAGTGGTCTTGCATATAATTTACTTTTGATTAGTAATTCATTATTCCAAAGGCTATAGTAAAACTTCCTTGGTTTCTGATTTTTTCAGTCTATATAGTTATTACTTATTTTTATAAATTGTAAATTGGTTGTTATTATTTGTAAATTGATTTCTTTGATTATACATTTGCTAAAACTGAATCTAGTTTTGTTTATATTATTATTTTATTAAATGTATAGTGCTTATAAGTTTTTGTATAACTAGTTTTATAAAAATTTTAGTAAAATAGTTATTCTATTATAGTACTATTTCTGTTTTTGGATTTTTTATTCTTGTAATATTGATTTCTTTTTCTCCTAGCTTCATATATTTTCATAAATCTATCTATGCTAACTAATCTATCACTTTATTATATTTAATTCCAGAATTATCTTTCACTTTGTATAATAATAATTTAAGCTTTTTTTGCTTATAGAAAGTCTTTATTTGAAGTAAAAGTTTGAGTTTTTATTTTTTTATAGTTCTATTTATATCTTTCTTTTAGACTTTCACTATTTTGTTTATAACTACCTAACTGTCAAAATAAATATTTGCTACACTATATTCTGATAGTACAGTTAGAACTATTAAAATTGTCACTATCACTGCTTTAATAAATGATATAATATATAACAAAACTTTTTTAAATTCTTTATTTACTCATAACTTAATAAAAAATTATTTAAATAATATAAAAATTTAAATATATAATTTTTTAAAAGTTAAAGAATAAGGTTACTTAAAGTTACTTAAGACTATTTATATAAGTTTTATATTATTTTATATTA